TCCTCAGTTGCATAAACCTTATAGGTAAGGCTTGGGAGGGAGTGACTTGCAGGACTTTGAACTCTGCTTGGAAAAAACTGGCCACAATGTGTACAAGAGAGGGATTTTGAAGGGTTTGGGGCTAACCCTCAGGAGCCTATGCCTATTGTGTCATTGTGAAAGTCCATGGGGTTGGAGGTTTGTGGCAAGGATGTGGAAGAGTTGGTGCAGAACGAAGAAGAAGAACTAACCACTGCAGAGCTGCAAGAGCTTGAGGTGCAACAGCAACAAATCACAGCTCATGAATGTGCTACAGAGCAGGAGGAAGAGAGACGGAGGAAGTTGCCTTCATGAAGGATTAATGAAATGTATACAATGTTTACAAAGGTGCAAGCATTTATGGATGAATTTTATCCTGTCACAGCTGTTGCAAGGTGTATTGGCAACATGTACAATGATACTCTTGTGTCCCATTTTAGGGAAATCCTAAGGGCATGTGAGAAACAGAGCTCTCTGGACAGATATTTTGTGCAACAGGGGTCCAGTGACTCAAGCTGGTCGTAGTGACATTAAAAAACCAAGAAGGGAGGTAACCCCAGCAAAACACTTGGTACCTGAAGTCTTTATGGAAGAGGGTTTCCCTTCCAAACAATAGAACACCTGAATCTCCCCTGCTCCTGGCACATCACTCATCAACAACTCCACAATAAAGGTAAGTAGCATTTAATTATTGTTTATTTTGCATGTACCACTGGTTTCTGTGTAGGGAAATGTATATTTCATGTAAAAAAAATAATTATTTTGTTTAATACTTTCAGATGTCTGGAACAGATTAATTCTATTTCCCTTATTTCTTGTGGGGAAAATTAACTCAGCTAACAGCTAATTCGACTATCTCTCTGGAACAGATTAAAGCCATTGGTTGAGGGTCCACTGTACAAGAAACACGTTACATAGCATATAAACCTGCAATGTTTATTATATGCGATGTATATTTAATAATCACTCTTTTGCACATTAAATGTTTTATGTTAATATAAACATTTTCATTAATCCATCTATGATATCTTCAAAATTATATAAAAAAACACGTTACATATCATGTAGCACAAACATGAAATGTTTATATGTTATCGAGTGGAGAGTCGGATGGAGAGTAAACATAACGTTTTCTCTGATGCAGCGTTAGAAAAAACTGTGAAACTGGCGACTGGTGCATTAACTGCCCTTCACATGCGTTTGTTTACAATTCTCAGCATGAATTATTCATTAGTTCTCCCTCTGTTTATGGCGGCATGGTGGCTAAAGCTCCTGCTTCACACAATTAGGGCCCGGATTCGATTCCCAGCAGGTGGAAACATTCCGACACTTTCCTTACACCTGTTGTCCTGCTCACCTAGTAGCAAATAGGTACCTGGGTGTTAGTCGACTGGTGTGGGTCGCATCCTGGGGGACAAGATTGAGGACCCCAATGGAAATAAGTTAGACAGTCCTCGATGACTCGCTGACTTTCTTTGGTTATCCTGGGTGGCTAACCCTCCTGGAGTTTACCTGGAGAGAGTTCCGGAGGTCAACGCCCCTGCGGCCCGGTCTGTGGCCAGGCCTCCTGGTGGATCAGAGCCTGGTCAACCAGGCTGTTACTGTTGGCTGCACGCAAACCAATGTACGAGCCACAGCCCAGCTGGTCAGGAACCGACTTTAGGTGCTTGTCCAGTGCCAGCTTGAAGACTGCCAGGGGTCTGTTGGTAATCCCCCTTATGTATGCTGGGAGGCAGTTGAACAGTCTCGGGCCCCTGACACTTATTGTATGGTCTCTTAACATGCTAGTGACACCCCTGCTTTTCATTGGGGGGATGTTGCATCGTCTGCCAAGTCTTTTGCTTTCGTAGCGAGTGATTTTCGTGTGCAAGTTCAGTACTAGTCCCTCTAGGATTTTCCAAGTGTATATAATCATGTATCTCTCCTGCCTGCTTTCCAAGGAATACAGGTTCAGGAACCTCAAGTGCTCCCAGTAATTGAGGCGTTTTATCTCAGTTATGCGCGCCGTGAAGGTTCTCTCTACATTTTCTAGGTCAGCAATTTCACCTGCCTTGAAAGGTGTTGTTAGTGTGCAGCAATATTCCAGCCTAGATAGAACAAGTGACCTGAAGAGTGTCATCATGGGCTTGGCATCCCTAGTTTTGAAGGTTCTCATTATCCATCCTGTCATTTTTCTAGCAGATGCGATTGATACAATGTTATGGTCCTTGAAGGCGAGATCCTCCGACATGATCACTCCCAGGTCTTTGACGTTGGTGTTACACTCTATTTTGTGGCCAGAATTTGTTTTGTACTCTGATGACGATTTAATTTCCTCGTGTTTGCCATATCTGAGTAATTGAAATTTCTCATTGTTAAACTTCATATTGTTTTCTGCAGCCCACTGAAAGATTTGGTTGATGTCCGCCTGGAGCCTTGCAGTGTCTGCAATGGAAGACACTGTCATGCAGATTCGGGTGTTATCTGCAAAGGAAGACACGGTGCTGTGGCTGACATCCTTGTCTATGTCAGATATGAGGATGAGGAACAAGATGGGAGCAAGTACTGTGCCTTGTGGAACAGAGCTTTTCATCGTAGCTGCCTCGGACTTTACTCAGTTGACGACTACTCTCCGTGTTCTTGTTAGCGAGGAAATTATAGATCCATCAACCGACTTTTCCCGTTATTCCTTTAGCACGCATTTTGTGCGCTATTACGCCATGGTCACACTTGTCGAAGGCTTTTGCAAAGTCTGTATATATTACATCTGCATTCTTTTTGTCTTCTAGTGCATCTAGGACCTTGTCGTAGTGATCCAATAGTTGAGACAGACAGGAGCGACCTGTTCTAAACCCATGTTGCCCTGGGTTGTGTAATTGATGGGTTTCTAGATGGGTGGTGATCTTGCTTCTTAGGACCCTTTCAAAGATTTTTATGATATGGGATGTTAGTGCTATCTGTCTGTAGTTCTTTGCTGTTGCTTTACTGCCTCCTTTGTGGAGTGGGGCTATGTCTGTTGTTTTTAGTAACTGTGGGACGACCCCCGTGTCCATGCTCCCTCTCCATAGGATGGTAAAAGCTCGTGATAGGGGCTTCTTGCAGTTCTTGATGAACATGGAGTTCCACGAGTCTGGCCCTGGGGCGGAGTGCATGGGCATGTCATTTATCGCCTGTTCGAAGTCATCTGGCGTCAGGATAACATCAGATAGGCTTGTGTTAACCAAATTCTGTGGCTCTCTCATAAAAATTAATTTTGATCTTCGACTCTCAGTCTGGTTAGCGGCTTGCTAAAAACCAAGTCATATTGGGACTTGAGTAGCTCACTCATTTCCTTGCTGTCATCTGTGTAGCACCCATCTTGTTTAAGTAGGGGCCCAATACTGGACGTTGTTCTCAACTTTGATTTGGCATAGGAGAAGAAATACTTTGGGTTTCTTTCGATTTCATTTATGGCTTTTAGTTCTTCCTGCTATTCCTGACTCCTATAAGATTCCTTTAACCAGTGTCTCCCTACGCCTTTCAGATATATTGACCTCTTTTAGCCGCTCTGTTATTCTTTTCTGTCGCCTGTAAAGGGAGCGCCTGTCCCTTTCTATTTTACATCTACTCCTCCTTTTTCTTAGAGGAATAAGCCTTGTGCATACATCGAGCGCCACCGAGTTAATCTGTTCTAGGCATAAGTTGGGGTCTGTGTTGCTTAGTATATCTTCCCAGCTTATATCAGTTAGGATTTGGTTTACTTGGTCCCTCTTTATGTTTTTGTTATTGAAGTTGAATTTGGTGAATGCTCCCTCGTGACTAATCTCATTATGTCGGTCTGAGGCTCTGCGCATACATGTCTGAACTTCAATTATGTTGTGATCTGAGTATATTGTTTTTGATATGGTGACATTTCGTATCAGATCATCATTGTTAGTGAAGATGAGGTCTAGTGTATTCTCCAGTCTAGTAGGCTCTATTATTTGCTGGTTTAAATTGAATTTTGTGCAGAGATTTAAAAGCTCGTGTGAGTGTGAGTTTTCATCAGAGCTGCCTCCTGGTGTTATTACTGCAACAATATTATTTGCTATATTCCTCCATTTTAGGTGCCTTAAGTTGAAATCCCCCAGGAGTAAGATGTTGGGTGCAGGAGCTGGCAGATTTTCCAGACAGGGGTTAAAAATCCGAACAAAATCTTATCTTATCTTAACATGGTAATAATATGGCTATGTAGTATAATAATATAGCTGTGTAGTGTAACCCAGGAAGGGGGGCTACATAAGTATACTGTATCTACATCTAACACTACCCACACTTACTACAAATAAATGCTACTCACCTCTTACCCTACATTAAGACCACAAATATTGTAAGGTAAGTAATGAATGTACTGTAGCAGTAAACGACAGATTAAAGAGGTGAAATCTTAGACGCCAGAAACAAACCTCTATGGACAGATTTGTTGTGCGACAGGGGTCCAGTGACTCAAGCTGGTCCTAGTGGCATTAAAAGACAAAGAAGGGAAGTAACCCCAGAGAAGGCTTTGCCACCTAGTCTTTATGGAGGGGGATTTCCCTTCCAAATACTAACTCCTCCCTCTTTCCTCTTCCCTATCTTCCAGAAGCCAGAATTAGCCTTCAATAAAGGTATGTAATACTTACAAAATTGTTAAAAAAAAAAAATTTTGTGAACATTTTTGTCTGGAATGGATTAATTGTATTTCCATTAATTCTTATGGGAAATATTAATTCGGTTTTCGGCCATTTCGGTTATCAGCTGACCTTCTGGAATGGATTACGACCGATAACAGAAGGTCCACTGTACAGTGATACTGGGAAATGCTTCTTCAATATACGAATAGTCAAAACAAGTGACATGAGCTACCTCACACAGTTTATATGTAAAGTAAAACTATGTATGCAAATTAAAAAGAGGCAGACCCAAGAACTAGACCTCACCCCCTATCCCAAGAGGGGAGGGGGGTGAGGTCTATGTTAAGTCAACTGAACACCACTGATGCTCACCATCGTAGTTAATGGTGTTATCAATTTTCTTCTCTTCAAAACATTTGCCTGCAGTGTGACCATTATCTTCATTGTCAGTGGTCACAGGAAAATTACTACTAGTGACTGCACTGATGTCCCCCCACGATGACAAAGCTTTTATAGAGGCCAAGTCAAATCCGAGGTTTTGTTGTGGCACTTTAGCTGGAATAAATTTTATTCTTGACAGATGCATACTGGCATATACAGTACAATACAGTACTACACATTATGTAGGAACAGGTTTTTCATAGGATTTCTATAAAACACATGCAATTTAAATAAGTAATTACTGTACCTAAATTCACCCGCTTCTTTTATACTTATTCCTTCTAATCTAGCATCCATATTTTACTGCCTTAACTTTCTGCTCTAAATTACCTTGCTCTTAAGTTCCTTTTGCACATCCTCAAAACTCCTCCACTAACTCTACAACTTCTCTTCCAAATATTCAAAAGAAATGTGCTATCATCAGTGTTAACTGACAATACATTTAACTCTGATTTTGTATCCTATTCTTTATCTTTTAAGCTGCACCTCTCCCTGACATTCAACTTGTTTACAATCCCATTTATAAAAGGGCCATTCTGACTGGGAAATATCCTCCTCTTTCACACATCCTAACCTTAGCCTCACTCTTGAAAACTGATTATAACTTTTAGCATTAAAGCTCTACAGCAGCTTTAATCAACCTATCTGTTATTCAATACATTTCCAAAAGTTAAAGTTTTGAAGAAATTCCCTCAACTGATTATTGCACATAAAAGAAAAAATCCATGGCAAAATACAGCGGTACCTTGGGATACGAATTTATTTAGTTTGAGAAGGCTGTTCGAGTGCCGATGCCAAACGAATTTGTTCCCAAAAGGAATAATGTAAATTAGATTAATCCGTTTCAGATCCCCAAAAATACACTTACAAAAGCACTTACATAAATACACTTACATAATGGTTTAAGTTTTGAGCTGTTCGTATCCCGAGGTACCACTGTATACGTAATTAAGCAACAACATAAAACACAGTTTTCTAACCTGCAAAGTGAAAATAAGATCAGTGTTTGATAAAAGATGCACCCACCTTAATCTAAAAGAAAAAATCACGTGACAATTACCCTACCTTTCTTAGGTATCGGTTTCTTAAATTCTTGCTTTTTAGGAACCCCACCGGATATGGAGGCCAAGATGCCAGCCAGGCCACTGCCCAGGCGCATCTCTCGCTTTACTGAAAACAAAATATTCTGATAATACCATGTCTTTTATTTTAATGCTCCTCTTTTTAGAGAATTAAAAGTCAACTTAAGATAGCCTAAAAAAAAAAAAAAAAAAAAAAAAAAAGTCATCAATTCAACATGGGTTGTATTGTAGTAGGTGTACATGGGTTGTATTGTAGTGGGTGTACATGGGTTGTATTGTAGTGGGTGTACATGGGTTGTATTGTAGTGGGTGTACATTGGTTGTATTGTAGTGGGTGTACATGGGTTGTATTGTAGTGGGTGTACATGGGTTGTATTGTAGTGGGTGTACATGGGTTGTATTGTAGTGGGTGTACATGGGTTGTATTGTAGTGGGTGTACATGGGTTGTATTGTAGTGGGTGTACATGGGTTGTATTGTAGTGGGTGTACATGGCTTGTATTGTAGTGGGTGTACATGGCTTGTATTGTAGTGGGTGTACATGGGTTGTATTGTAGTGGGTGTACATGGGTTGCATTGTAGTGGGTGTACATGGGTTGTATTGCAGTGGGTGTACACGAGTTGTATTGTCGTGGGTTTACATGGGTCATATTGCAGTGGGTGTACATGGGTTGTATTGCAGTGGGTGTACATTGGTTGTATTGTAGTGGGTGTACATGGGCTGTATTGCAGTGGGTGTACACGAGTTGTATTGCAGTGGGTGTACATTGGTTGTATTGTAGTGGGTGTACATGGGCTGTATTGCAGTGGGTGTACATGGGTTGTATTGTAGTGGGTGTACACGAGTTGTATTGCAGTGGGTGTACATGGGTTGTATTGTAGTGGGTGAACATGGGTTGTATTGTAGTGGGCGTACATGAGTTGTATTGTAGTGGGTTTACATGGGTCATATTGCAGTGGGTGTACATGGGTTGTATTGTAGTGGGTGTACACGAGTTGTATTGCAGTGGGTGTACATGGGTTGTATTGTAGTGGGTGTACATGGGCTGTATTGCAGTGGGTGTACATGGGTTGTATTGCAGTGGGTGTACATGGGTTGTATTGTAGTGGGTGTACACGAGTTGTATTGCAGTGGGTGTACATGGGTTGTATTGTAGTGGGTGTACATGAGTTGTATTGTAGTGGGTGTACATGAGTTGTATTGTAGTGGGTGTACATGGGTTGTATTGTAGTGGGTGTACATGGGTTGTATTGTAGTGGGTGTACATGGGTTGTATTGTAGTGGGTATACATGGGTTGTATTGTAGTGGGTGTACATGGGTTGTATTGTAGTGGGTGTACATGGGTTGTATTGTAGTGGGTGTACATGGGTTGTATTGTAGTGGGTGTACATGGGTTGTATTGTAGTGGGTGTACATGGGTTGTATTGCAGTGGGTGAACATGGGTTGTATTGTAGTGGGTGAACATGGTGGGTGGCCCGGTGGCTAAAGCTCCCACTTCACACACGGAGGGCCCGGGTTTGATTCCCAGCGCGGTGGAAACATTTCGACACGTTTCCTTACACCTGTTGTCATGTTCACCTAGCAGCAAATAGGTACCTGGGTGTTAGTGGACTGGTGTGGGTGGCATCCTGGGTGTTAGTGGACTGGTGTGGGTGGCATCCTGGGTGTTAGTGGACTGGTGTGGGTGGCATCCTGGGTGTTAGTGGACTGGTGTGGGTGGCATCCTGGGTGTTAGTGGACTGGTGTGGGTGGCATCCTGGGTGTTAGTGGACTGGTGTGGGTGGCATCCTGGGTGTTAGTGGACTGGTGTGGGTGGCATCCTGGGTGTTAGTGGACTGGTGTGGGTGGCATCCTGGGTGTTAGTGGACTGGTGTGGGTGGCATCCTGGGTGTTAGTGGACTGGTGTGGGTGACATCCTGGGTGTTAGTGGACTGGTGTGGGTGACATCCTGGGTGTTAGTGGACTGGTGTGGGTGGCATCCTGGGTGTTAGTGGACTGGTGTGGGTGGCATCCTGGGTGTTAGTGGACTGGTGTGGGTGGCATCCTGGGTGTTAGTGGACTGGTGTGGGTGGCATCCTGGGTGTTAGTGGACTGGTGTGGGTGGCATCCTGGGTGTTAGTGGACTGGTGTGGGTGGCATCCTGGGTGTTAGTGGACTGGTGTGGGTGGCATCCTGGGTGTTAGTGGACTGGTGTGGGTGGCATCCTGGGTGCTAGTGGACTGGTGTGGGTGGCATCCTGGGTGCTAGTGGACTGGTGTGGGTAGCATCCTGGGTGCTAGTGACTGGTGTGGGTGGCATCCTGGGTGCTAGTGGACTGGTGTGGGTGGCATCCTGGGGGACAAGATTGAGGACCACAATGGAAATAAGTTAGACAGTCCTCGATGACACACTGACTTTCTTGGGTTATCCTGGGTGGCTAACCCTCCGGGGTTAAAAATCTGAACGAAATCTTATCTTACATGAGTTGTATTGTTGTGGGTGTACATGGGCTATACTGTAGTGGGTGTACATGGGTTATACTGTAGTGGGTGTACATGGGTTATACTGTAGTGGGTGTACAGGGGTTATACTGTAGTGGGTGTACATGGGTTATACTGTAGTGGGTGTACATGGGTTATACTGTAGTGGGTGTACATGGGTTATACTGTAGTGGGTGTACATGGGTTATACTGTAGTGGGTGTACATGGGTTATACTGTAGTGGGTGTACATGGGCTATATTGTAGTGGGTGTACATGGGTTATACTGTAGTGGGTGTACATGGGTTATACTGTAGTGGGTGTACATGGGTTACACTGTAGTGGGTGTACATGGGTTACACTGTAGTGGGTGTACATGGGTTACACTGTAGTGGGTGTACATGGGTTACACTGTAGTGGGTGTACATGGGTTACACTGTAGTGGGTGTACATGGGTTACACTGTAGTGGGTGTACATGGGTTACACTAGTGGGTGTACATGGGTTACACTGTAGTGGGTGTACATGGGTTATATTGTAGTGGGTGTACATGGGTTACACTGTAGTGGGTGTACATGGGTTATATTGTAGTGGGTGTACATGGGTTACACTGTAGTGGGTGTACATGGGTTATATTGTAGTGGGTGTACATGGGTTACACTGTAGTGGGTGTACATGGGTTACACTGTAGTGGGTGTACATGGGTTACACTGTAGTGGGTGTACATGGGTTACACTGTAGTGGGTGTACATGGGTTATATTGTAGTGGGTGTACATGGGCTATATTGTAGTGGGTGTACATGGGCTATATTGTAGTGGGTGTACATGGGCTATATTGTAGTGGGTGTACATGGGTTATATTGTAGTGGGTGTACATGGGTTATATTGTAGTGGGTGTACATGGGCTATACTGTAGTGGGTGTACATGGGCTATATTGTAGTGGGTGTACATGGGTTATATTGTAGTGGGTGTACATGGGCTATATTGTAGTGGGTGTACATGGGCTATATTGTAGTGGGTGTACATGGGTTATACTGTAGTGGGTGTACATGGGTTATACTGTAGTGGGTGTGCATGGGTTATACTGTAGTGGGTGTACATGGGTTATACTGTAGTGGGTGTACATGGGTTATATTGTAGTGGGTGTACATGGGTTATACTGTAGTGGGTGTACATGGGTTATACTGTAGTGGGTGTACATGGGTTATATTGTAGTGGGTGTACATGGGTTATACTGTAGTGGGTGTACATGGGTTATACTGTAGTGGGTGTACATGGGTTATATCAATCAAGTTTATTCTGTATAAGGGTTACAATGCGGGGTTTAGTTTGGTTTACTGTGGTTTACATATAATAAAACAATAATTACAGAGGCGCCACTAGCACACCTAGCATGGTAATAATGTATCTTAAGTGGTGGTAAGCCTTAACCAGACATTCGTGAAGTTCTAAACCTGTAAGGGTCATATAGAGGAAGGAAGGAGTGGTAACGGGCAATGAAGTTCAATCCAAGGAAGGGAAAGAGCAGTCCAGTTCCTTGGATCAAGATCCACTCCTCTTCCCTGAGGGACGTGTCTAGCAATCATACTTGATGGAGAGTTAAGAGAAGGTAGCTAGCTCCACCTGCGTGGATCAAGATCCCGGGGAGGAGCATGCAGGAGGTCCGGGTGATGGTTATAACACAATAAATGTCTTACTTCCTTCATTATGATCCTGAGAGTCACCTACTCTCCACGACGCCATTATTAACACTGACTTTATACTCTCTACATCAACACTCATCAATTTCATTCTATTGCAATTTTATATTAATTCTAAATTACTTTATAATTTATTAACCTCTCGTTCAGGTACATTTCATTAATTACCAGAATTGAAACACATAGATCAGCGTTATTTATTATTATTGTTACCTCGTATCTTCATGGAATTTAGCTACAAATTTCTTATAACATGAATTATTATCACATTTATTTTGCATTTTCTTGCACCAAAAATATATATATTGTCTGAAATTAATTAAAAGCCGGCAGCTCCGTTCAATTGAGAATGTTCTTTAAAATTAACAACACAAACATTTATTTTTATAATGAATAAAAAAAAAAACCAGTTCACTATATGTGAAAAAATATAACTAACTTGTTTAATGAAATATATAATATTGACGTTACAATGTTATCTTAACTACTCCATAACACTCCAATATGTTAACATTACAATTATTAGTCAAATTCAATTCAAATTCAAAGTTTATTCTCTATAAGGATTACAATGCTGAGTTTATAGAAATTTGGTTATTGTGTGGTTAACATGTAGTAAAATTGTGATTACAGAGTGTACCACTAGAACACTTAGCATGGCTAGGCATTTCGGGCATTACCATAATCTGTCTAGACAGAACAATAAATCTATGTTGACTGTATAGCCCTTGTGGCTTAGCGCTTCTTTTTGATTATAATAATAATAAATCTATGTTGATATAACAAAAAATCCATAATTAATCCTAAATCACTTTGTGGTGATTACAAACTTCAGGTTAATGGTTGACTACTGTTGTAACTAATTATAGTATCTTAGTATATCTCAAATTATTATATCTTAATATGTCTCAAATTATTAATATTATTATTATTATGGCATCTTAATATATTTCAAGTTATTATTATAGCATCCTAATATATCTCAAGTTATCATTATTATTTTTATTTTTTTTTATTATCACTGGCCGATTCCCACCAAGGCAGGGTGGCCATCAAGGCAGGGTGGCCATCAAGGCAGGGTGGCCATCAAGGCAGGGTGACCACCAAGGCAGGGTGGCCACCAAGGCAGGGTAGCCACCAAGGCAGGGTGGCCCGAAAAAGAAAAACTTTCACCATCATTCACTCCATCACTGTCTTGCCAGAAGGGTGCTTTACACTACAGTTTTTAAACTGCAACATTAACACCCCTCCTTCAGAGTGCAGGCACTGTACTTCCCATCTCCAGGACTCAAGTCCGGCCTGCCGGTTTCCCTGAACCCCTTCATAAATGTTACATTGCTCACACTCCAACAGCACGTCAAGTATTAAAAACCATTTGTCTCCATTCACTCCTATCAAACACGCTCACGCATGCCTGCTGGAAGTCCAAGCCCCTCGCACTCAAAACCTCCTTTACCCCCTCCCTCCAACCTTTCCTAGGCCGACCCCTACCCCGCCTTCCTTCCACTACAGACTGATACACTCTTGAAGTCATTCTGTCTCGCTCCATTCTCTCTACATGTCCGAACCACCTCAACAACCCTTCCTCAGCCCTCTGGACAACAGTTTCGGTAATCCCGCACCTCCTCCTAACTTCCAAACTACGAATTCTCTGCATTATATTCACACCACACATTGCCCTCAGACATGACATCTCCACTGCCTCCAGCCTTCTCCTCGCTGCAACATTCATCACCCATGCTTCGCACCCATATAAGAGCGTTGGTAAAACTATACTCTCATACATTCCCCTCTTTGCCTCCAAGGACAAAGTTTTTTGTCTCCACAGACTCCTAAGTGCACCACTCACCCTTTTTCCCTCATCAATTCTATGATTTACCTCATCTTTCATAGACCCATCCGCTGACACGTCCACTCCCAAATATCTGAATACATCCTTGTCTAAGGCCTACTTTTACTGGGAAATAATTTCCCACTTTCCTACATACTCTAACTTGAGCCTCACTATCCTCGTAAAAACTCTTCACTGCTTTCAGTAACCTACCACCTACACCATACACCTGCAACATCTGCCACATTACCCCCCTATCCACCCTGTCATACGCCTTTTCCAAATCCATAAATGCCACAAAGACCTCTTTAGCCTTATCTAAATACTGTTCACTTATGTGTTTCACTGTAAACACCTGGCCCACACACCCCCTACCTTTCCTAAAGCCTCCTTGTTCATCTGCTATCCTATTCTCCATCTTACTCTTAATTCTTTCAATAATAACTCTACCATACACTTTACCAGGTACACTCAACATACTTATTCCCCTATAATTTTTGTACTCTCTTTTGTCCCCTTTGCCTTTATACAAAGGAACTATGCATGCTCTCTGCCAATCCCTAGGTACCTTACCTTCTTCCATACATTTATTAAATAATTGCACCAACCACTCCAAAACTACATCCTCACCTGCTTTTAACATTTCTATCTTTATCCCATCAATCCCGGCTGCCTTACCCCCCTTTCATTTTACCTACTGCCTCACGAACTTCCCCCACACTCACAACTGGCTCTTCCTCACTCCTACAAGATGTTATTCCTCCTTGCCCTATACACGAAATCACAGCTTCCCTATCTTCATCAACATTTAACAATTCCTCGAAATATTCCTTCCATCTTCCCAATACCTCTAACTCTCCATTTAATAACTCTCCTCTCCTATTTTTAACTGACAAATCCATTTTTTCTCTAGGCTTCCTTAACTTGTTAATCTCACTCCAAAACTTTTTCTTATTTTCAACAAAATTTGTTGATAACATCTCACCCACTCTCTCATTTGCTCTCTTTTTACATTGCTTCACCACTCTCTTAACCTCTCTCTTTTTCTCCATATGCTCTTCCCTCCTTGCATCACTTCTACGTAAAAGCTTCTCATATGCTAACTTTTTCTCCCTTACTACTCTCTTTACATCATCATTCCACCAATCGCTCCTCTTCCCTCCTGCACCCACTTTCCTGTAACCACAAACTTCTGCTGAACACTCCAACACAACACTTTTAAACCGACCCCATACCTCTTCGATCCCATTGCCTATGCTCTCATTAGCCCATCTATCCTCCAATAGTTGTTTATATCTTACCCCAACTGCCTCCTCTTTTAGTTTATAAACCTTCACCTCTCTCTTCCCTGATGCTTCTTTTCTCCTTGTATCCCATCTACCTTTTACTCTCAGTGTAGCTACAACTAGAAAGTGATCTGATATATCTGTGGCCCCTCTATAAACATGTACATCCTGAAGTCTACTCAACAGTCTTTTATCTACCAATACATAATCCAACAAACTACTGTCATTTCGCCCTACATCATATCTTGTATACTTATTTATCCTCTTTTTCTCAAAATATGTATTACCTATAAGTAAACCCCTTTCTATACAAAGTTCAATCAAAGGGCTCCCATTATCATTTACACCTGGCACCCCAAACTTACCTACCACACCCTCTCTAAAAGTTTCTCCTACTTTAGCATTCAGGTCCCCTACCACAATTACTCTCTCACTTGGTTCAAAGGCTCCTATACATTCACTTAACATCTCCCAAAATCTCTCTCCTCTACATTCCTCTCTTCTCCAGGTGCATACACGCTTATTATGACCCACTTTTTGCATCCAACCTTTACTTTAATCCACATAATTCTTGAATTTACATTCATATTCTCTTTTCTCCTTCCATAACTGATCCTTCAACATTACTGCTACCCCTTCCTTTGCTCTAACTCTCTCAGATACTCCAGATTTAATCCCATTTATTTCCCCCCCCCCCCGAAACTCCCCTACCCCCTTCAGCTTTGTTTCGCTTAGGGCCAGGACATCCAACTTCTTTTCATTCATAACATCAGCACTCATCTGTTTCTTGTCATCCGCACTACATCCACGCACATTCAAGCATCCCAGTTTTATAAAATTGTTCTTCTTCTCTTTTTCAGTATATGTCTACAGGAGAAGGGGTTACTAGCCCATTGCTCCCGGCATTTTATCATTATTATATCACCTTAATGACAATGATCACTTTGACATTTTTGTTTGGGTTATCCTACTTGATTTGCTTCTTATATGAACAAGTGTAATGATGCACAACTTGTGTAATTATACTGGTACAAATGTCACCTAAATAAACATAATGAGTACTTACATCCAGCAATTTATCATTAGGTATTCCTGAAGGAGGATCTGTAACTAGCACCAAAAAAATTTCTTGCTCCTACTTTTCAATTATATTTTGCTCAAGAATCCCTCATCCGATTGCATTCAAATTTTGAATGCCTGTGTACAGTAACGAGGACCAGATTCTGGGAACCGGCACATGCAGGTGTCCTGTGATCAATGTTACCTCGGCTATTCCCAGCATCCTGGAGTGGCTAGGATAAATTACTGAATACTAAACCCACAAGGGTCATATAACACTGGATAACTTCCAAAACTCTCAGCAGCGCAGCTTCAAGCGTCCATTGAAGTTGTCTCCTAACTGGATGACAGCGGAGAGTGTATGTCAGTGTATAGGTGCAGAGTTGACCATTTATTATTATATTCTTGAGGGAGTGCTAAACCCGTAGAGATTATACAGTGCATGTTTGGGGGGGGGGGGGAGGGGTGGAAGGTATTCAGGCTCAATTCAGGGAAGTGGAGCACAGATCCAATTCCCTAGATCAAGAGCCCCTCACCAGCATCAAGGAACCTCCCTTGAAGGGTGGCCATTTTATGTGGTTTTAAAATGGTGTGAAATTTTGATTCCCATTTAATATTCACAAACACAATATATGTGTAGCCCTCTTCTGAATTATTTATTTTATTATCACACTGGCCGATTCCCACCAAGGCAGGGTGGCCCAAAAAAGAAAAACTTTCACCATCATTCACTCCATCACTGTCTTGCCAGAAGGGTGCTTTACACTACAGTTTTTAAATTGCAACATTAACACCCCTCCTTCAGAGTGCAGGCACTGTACTTCCCATCTCCAGGACTCAAGTCCGGCCTGCCGGTTTCCCTGAACCCCTTCATAAATGTTACTTTGCTCACACTCCAACAGCACGTCAAGTATTAAAAACCATTTGTCTCCATTCACTCCTATCAAACATGCTCACGCATGCCTGCTGGAAGTCCAAGTCCCTCGCACACAAAACCTCCTTTACCCCTTCCCTCCAACCTTTCCTAGGCTGACCCCTACCCTACCTTCCTTCCACTACAGACTGATACACTCTTGAAGTCACTCTGTTTCGCTCCATTCTCTCTACATGTCCGAACCACCTCAACAACCCTTCCTCAGCCCTCTGGACAACAGTTTTGGTAATCCCGCACCTCCTCCTAACTTCCAAACTATGAATTCTCTGCATTATATTCACACCACACATTGCCCTCAGACATGACATCTCCACTGCCTGCAGCCTTCTCCTCGCTGCAACATTCATCACCCATGCTTCACACCCATATAAGAGCGTTGGTAAAACTATACTCTCATACATTCCCCTCTTTGCCTCCAAGGACAAAGTTCTTTGTCTCCACAGACTCCTAAGTGCACCACTCACCCTTTTCCCCTCATCAATTCTATGATTCACCTCATCTTTCATAGACCCATCTGCTCTTCTGAATGGCTTCAGTATTTAATGGCTTATGCCATTAAAAGGTCAGAATAGTAAACACTCAGTTTAGCTTGTTTGTGGGAAAATTTGTCAATAAAATAAATACTTTTTTAAAATTTTGAGTCATTGAAATTTTTATGGAACTAGACTATCTTCAAAAACATGAAATTCATTCTTTTTCTTTGGATTTTAGAGAATTTTAAAAGTGAGTTGAGCAAACCCTTCAATAACGCATGACATGATACCAGAGCCATCCATCTGTTAGCTACAATTTTCTCATTCAGAATGCCTTATCCAATTTCCTTCAATTTTCAAACCCTGGTCAGCTATTATTAAGGAATGGCTGGTAGAGCAATTGACATGCTCAGGTGCTCTCTCCTCAATTTTGTGTAGACAATTCCCAAAATTGATTTCCACGGGATTGCTTTAAACAGATTCTCTTTTGATTGGCTTCGCAGGCATCACTGAGTGGTAACTTATACTGTTATTGGTTATAGATTCAAATATATATACACAGGAGTTTTGCAAACAAAGTACATCAGTGCCGACTCTCTCTTTACACTGGCCTGGAATTTTACGACTCACTCGACACTGGTTCAAACTCCATTCGTTCTGTGGTTTCTTTTACTGTTATTATTATTATAATCAAAAAGAAGCGCTAAGCCACAAGGGCTATACAGCTGCTTCTTCTTTTACTGTTGATTTCCATAGCCAGAAAGTGTGGAACATTTATTAAAATGCTCATATAGGCATCTAAACTACAAGATTTCCTGGCAGCAAAATGAGTTGTAAAAGTGATTTCCTGATAAATATTAATCTCTGAAAAAATAATATGTATCTTTATGTGTTTTATATTATATATACTATGCTCTGCAGAAATGTAGACAATACTAACAGACAGATATTTCCATTTGTTGGTCATGACATGAGTAGTAGTAACTAGAACAACAAGGTAAGGATGGTCATCTATTTCCCATAGTATTTGTTTGTTGGAAGGTTGAAAATTATTGAATTTTCCCAGGAAGGTCTCAAAATCTTATCAATTTGGGGAAACAAAAGTCACCCTCAATATACCTCAATCATAATTGATTGCAAAAAGTTGTTAATAATTCGGTTAATAATTTTTCCAATAAAAATGAGCCCAAGACAGGGATGTAATGTCAGTGAATATTTAATTTGTTTATAGTTGGGGTTGTAAGTTGTTGTTTGTAGATAATTTGCTTATGAGAAATTCAGAAAAAAATGCTGCAAAAGTTTGTACAGAGGTTTGGAAATGTGTACAGTTATTACTAAGTTCAAGTGAAAGCACCAAACCCATAGTGGTCATAAAGTACCTGTCGAATGAGAGGCAATCATATTCAGTCCAAGGAAAGGGTGGAAAAGTTCAATTCCTTGGATCAAATGTCCCTCACCATCATCAAGGAATCCTCCTTGAGGAGAAATGCCAGTTCAGCAAGCTGAAAGTGACCATAGCAAAGAGTAAAATAATGAGTATTGAATAAACATTTCTAAGGAACAAATGCATACTGGGAGGAGTAAAAGAAAGTGAATTTGGATGGAGATAAGTAGCACAAAGCGAACAAGTGGAGAATAGACACAACTACAGACAACTGAGACTTTCATATATGGAATGGACTTCTCCAGTCAGTACACAAGGATGCATAATAAACAAAATTATACAAGTGTAGTCGGGTGAACAGCTGGGTTAGTAAGGTCACTGTATGGTGAAATACAAGATAGGGGGACTGCAGGAGACCTACTAGTCCTTCCAGTGACCAACTCATTTTATATAAAAAGGTCACTGGAATCACTGGAAAGACCAGTAGACCTGCAGGGTCCTTATCTTGCACTTTATCCATACACTGAACTCCATGATCCAGCCACTTGTCTGATTGTTGTAGCCTAATCCACATGTGAAATCCCTTAATTAAGTTTGTTTCTTGTGGAAGTAAATTTATTTAAATACTCTGGAGAGGATATGTCAGCAGATGGGTCTATCCTATAAAAGATGAGGTGAATCACAGAAAAGATAAAAGGAAAAAAGTAGCATGAGTGTTTAGAAATCTGTGGAAAGTAATCATGTCAATATCTATATGAAGGAAAATGTATCATGAGTATAGCAGTGCTATAACGTTATGACAGAATAAAGGAAATCATCTCTGATATATATTATTTAGGTATTCATACTGGTCAGAGAGCCTGTCGTGAATCTGAGTCATCGGTAAATGAGTACGTCGCTGAATGAGGAGAATATCCTTTTTCATGTTTTTGTGACAAGAGGTTATCATACAGTGTCAGTGCCATTGTATTGATTTCACATTTTTTACTGGTCCTTTCCTTAACCTTTTTGTTTAAATCTTACTGGATAATCATTTCTTTTGTGCATAAACATGAAAATGTAATCCCTACCCTCAATATTTTACTCAAACACAAAAAAATATTGTGGAACTAGTAGTTTAATAAAAACTACCATTGATATACTCTTGCATATATTCTTGCAAATATTAACTAATCTAATATAGGAAAACTGATTACATTTTATCACTAAAATTATGCATACACTGGCTATCCAAATTTGTCTGTGACCCTTTCAGAGAATGCATTCCTTGTACAAAGTCAAGGAAGATATATAAAACCAACTTTTTTCACACATTGGCAGGTAATTCAAAACTCACTTCCCATCATGACTCACTAATAAATTAGCTTCTGTCCACTTGTTGACATATATAATTCTGAGTTAATAAAAAACAATAAGTGACTGAATTTTATTTACTTTCACAAAACTACAGACTATCAAATCAAAATCATTGCAGTATCATACATGAAAACAGTTTTTGTACACACATTTAAGGTAAAAATATACTTTTACAATGGAAATAAGACATTCCTGATTAATATTCTTGAATAATTATTAAAACTTTGAACATTAAGTGGTTTTAACAAATTAAGACAACAGAAAGGCTTTCACAATAATTTACTCAATCTTTCTATGAAATACATGAAAATGTCATTGATATCAATTAATTTTTAAATACAGTACAAGTAATTTGTTACTTAGCATATTAGTTTCCTGTTAAATCTAAGTATTCTTAATTGCATCCCCCATAACAAGGGAAGCAGTGTATTAAGTTACATTTCAGTGATATAATCCCAACTTCACAACAACTTAACTGTAAGCTAAGAAACCTCTGTAACTTCCATTCCATGAGAAGTATTTGTGTATTTTTATCCTTCTATCAAAAACAAAATTATTGTTGACAGTCTCCTAGGGTTCATTAATTTTTTTCCATAAACAACTGAACTTCTATCATATTGAAATCATATCTTTCAAAGCAATATTTTAAATTGTGGAGTGTGATAAAGAGGCATAAATGGTGGACACTATGACCACAGTCTTACAACCTCTTGAAAATAAAAGGATCTGTGTAGGATAGGATTTCATCTCTAATTTAGAACTAGCAATTTTTAAAAATTATATACACTTATTTACCACTTAAGTGATCATTCTATTTAGTCAATTCCCAATTACACACATGCATTAACACTCATTTTTTAACTTTACATCAGTGATAACTACGATGAAATGTATAAGATTACAGAAAAAATTAATGAAAGAGGATCATAAGCATTTTTGAAGTCCTGACCGAGAATTAAAAAAAAAAAAAAAAAAAAAAAAGTACGATAGTCTGACTGTAAGTATTGATTTGAGCGATGCTTCTGACTTGGAACAAGATGATAATTAGGTCACACACTGCTCACTAAAATGACTGTCAAAATATCACAAAACTTTCTGATGAAATACTGCAAAATAATGATCCAAAAAACATTAAGTAATGTTGATAATATAAACATGAAAATAAATGCTAAGGGTACCATGTGACATGACATATTGATACTGATTCTTTGTCTCTGTTAACAATAATAAGAATATAATCAGACTAAGCTCTAAACCCGGTCTCTGTTAACAGAGGTTTTCTATCATACTAAGTAAATTTATATTCTGAAAGTTATATGACATATAAACTTGTACTTTCTTGTACTGACAACATTGCTGATCTTAAGGGCAATATTAAGGTTGAGGATCAAACTGTACATGAATGCCATGTTATAATTTTACATTAAAATGACTTTTTATTTATGTAAGATTGGGAACAATCACATACAACAGACTTTAATGTCACACTTGAATTTAAGTTAATCCTGATAAATAACTGGGTAGTTCTATTTCTTCTAATTATTGTAAGAATAACAATAAAGTGAATATAAAGAGGAATAAAATGAATTATTATATTCCTTTCAAATGCGCATTTCTCTGGTCAGTATCATTTATGTATTTTATTAAATTATTTTACTTTTAGAGTCACATACTTATGAGCAACTATCAATAAAATCATTATCTGGCTGATATTTGTTTGCAGAGTACAGGCATGAAGCACTGAAAATATCTGACATACTTTTAAGTGTAAACAATCAATGTACCGCTCTAAAGCAGCACAAGTAGTACTTAAAAGATTCCTATATACAAGTCTCATCAAACTACTGAGTGTATCCAAATGATGATGTAGCAGGTGGTGGAGGTGGAGGTGGGGGTGGCGGGGCACTGAATAGTGAATGTCCGCTGGCCTGCAAAGGTAAGATAGAGCCAATCTGGAATCATGGATTAAAAACTATATGAAGTGTCAGAGTAAAACATTCACATATACATATATACAGTATGTGTTGCTGTTGAATGAAAGAAAACTTGTATAATTTTGTTAAGCTAAACCATTCAGTCACAGCAGGCAGGCAGTTACTTTATGATAAACATGCAAAATGTTAAGTACAGACTCCTTTTTATCACACATTTGGACTTTGGATGAGAAAGTACAAAAGAAAAAAAAAAGCATTTTATACTCAAGTTTCCCTGAGTAAATTTTGATCTAAGACTTGCAGGATTTAATTTAATAAGTACTGCAACTATTAACTTATTAAAAGAAACTTTGTACTGTAATAACCAAGCAAATTACACCAAAAAATAACTTACTTAAAGTATAATCAGATTTGTAGAATTTACATGATGGAAAAAGCTACAAGCTAGGACTCATTCCTCAAGAATTACCAAAATAATATGCTGCAACACTTACTAGTATAATGAGTTCTAAACTTATATACAACCTATGATAAATTCAGTGGAACACTATATGCAGTATAAAGCAATGTGAAATTTCTAAATTCTATGATTAAACCAAACATCAAACTAGAAGCAAATAAATCTCTCCAAAAATGATACAAGCTCACTCTCTGCTAATAAAGCAAATAAATTCCATGATGCAGCTTCTTTTCTATTGAGAACAAGACAGTGACTGCAATCCAAGAGGCTAAACCCAATATTAATAACATTCTTAATGATCTCTACATTAATTATTAGTATTTCTCACCAACCAAACATCCAGACTAAACTCAATACTAAAATCAATCCAAAATGTAGCAAGCAATCAAGCTGAAATACCCACCATTATAATACAAGAAGGATTCACAAGTACTGTGTTATCATCAGCTAATGCAATGCTCTTCAATAATCACTTTAATGTATAATCTTCCCAAACATTCCCAAAAGAGAGCAACTTTTAATTTACAAAGATGATCATACCTCTGACATAAGAAATTACAGATAAATTTCAAAGCTGCCATATAATACCATCAGAAGTATTTTTGAAAATAAATTTGAACAAATATACTCATATATAACCAAGCATAAAATACATACACTATGCCAGCATGAATTCACACCCCAAAGGGGCACAAATGCTGCAATAATAAAACTACTAAACACCATCTATGCAGCACTCTGTAGTAACTAACATAGTTGCAATATTTATTGACCAATAAAAGCCCTTTGGCATTATAGATCACAACAAATTTCTGAAATATTATAGACTTAAAGGTCACTATTTTATCCAATAAATAAATATAACTGACACTACAGTACTTCATCTACTCTACAAATAAACACCGACATTAACAAGAGTTGTAGTTTAGGCTCTCTCCTGTTCCTCCTGTATATCATCACCTATCAATGCCATCAAACAATTACAACCAATATTCTGAACCTTTTGCATTAAACAACAAAGTAAATGAGGAGCTCTGACTGCAACTATACCACCTCTCCTTCAGAGTACAGGCACTGCCCTTCCCACTTCCCTTCAAAAGTATTACCTTTCTCACACTCCAACAGCACATTATTATCTCCATTCATTCCATCTACATGCTCATAAAAGCCTGCTGGATGCTATATACAGTGTACATCACAATTAATGCTTTATATAGTCTTTAACTCCGCTACATTAAGTCTACATGATACTATGCATTACTTTTACCCACTGAGGAAGGTGACTCAAAAAAGAAACACTTTCACAATAAAAATTAATATTCTATGCACTAAATTTCATCTCTACAAATAATAAAATTTGTTGCATTTCTAATAGTGTTACTTTTTTGGACTTATTGGCAATTTTTTACGGGTTCCATTATATTAACTTCTAGATACATTTATTACAAGAACAAGGGGGCTAGTAACTCCTTCTCCTGTATAAATTTCTCTATGTAAAATAAAGAAAAATGCATGTTTCTTCTTTTATTTGGGTCACCTTGCCTTGGTGGGAGATGACTAGCATGTTTAAAAAATATATGTATATTTATAAGGCTTCCATAACAGCTTAATTATGTTCAAAAATGGTGTGCAAACTATGGTCTTTGCACTAGTACTGTACTTCCTAAATTGTAATACTTTTCAAAAAGCAATAACCAAAGTGCACTGTATTTCATGCATAAAAACTGTTTATGTCCCTCCTTTTCTTTTTAGCAATTTTACACAGAAAAAAAGAAAAAGAAATGTGCTGACATCATAGTTCAAAGGTCATGTGAACATGATACCAGCACACTTTGGCAAAACAGCAACTGAATAAATGATGGTAAACATGATTCCTTTTTTTCTTTTGTTGTCACTAACCTCAGTGATAAGAGACAGCAGGAATGTTAATTTTTTTTGTTTAGTTACACTAGAGAAGTTAAAATTAAACAAACAAAAAATAGAGAAGAATATAAAATTATAATTTTTTTTTCAGCACACTGGCCATCTCCCACTGAGGCAGGGTGACCTAAAAAAGAAAGAAATATTTTCACCATCATTCATACATAATCACTGTCTTTGCAGAGGTGCATAGATATGACAGTTCAAATGTCGCTCCAAAAAGAAAATATCCCAAACCCCTCCTGTAAAGTACAGGCATTGTACTTCCCATTTCCAGGATTTGAGTCTGGCTAACCAGTTTCCCTGAATCCCTTCAAAAAATATTACCCTGCTCACACTCCAATAGCTTGTCAGGTCCCAAAAACCATTTGTCTCCATTCAATCCTATCTAACATGCTCGCACATGCCTGCTGTATGTCCAGGCCCCTTGCACACAAAACCTCTTTTACCCCCTCCATCCAACCTTTCCTAGGATGACCCCTACACCTCCTCCCCTCCACTGCAGATTTATACACCCTCCAAGTCATCCTATTGTGTCCCATCCTCTCTAAATGGCCAAACCACCTAAACAACCCCTCCTCAGCCCTCTGAATAATACTTCTGTTAACTCCACATGTCCTCCTAATTTTCACACTATGAATTCTCTGCATAATATTTACATCACACATTGCCCTCATACATGACATCTCCACTACCGCCAGCCTCCCCCTTGCCCCAGCATTTATAACCCATACTTCATACCCATATAAGTGTTGGTACCACTATACCCTCATACATTCCCTGGTTAAATTCACAAAGCATCTTTTTACTGGCTCATGTGTTCTTTGATAAATAGGTTGAAAAAGCCTGTGAGTAAAAGAATAACTAGCATAAGGAAAAAAATAATTTCCTTCTCCCAGACTAGCACTTCCATAAGCAATGAAGGACAAATAGTCAGCTACTTAACATCTACACAAAAGACCTGTAAATCATGGGAAAAACAAAAAATACAATAAATCAACTCACCTGTGGGAAGCTATAGAAACCAGCTACAGGGTTGAAACTGTGTAATGCAGGATTGAAACCAGGTCCAGCAGGGCTGTAATTCTGTACAGCAGGATTGTAATTCTGTGCTGGAGTACTATAACTGTGTACTACAGGATTATAATTTTGAACAGGAGAATTATAATTTTGTCCAGGGGAGTTGTAATTTTGTCCTGGAGAACTATAATTTTGTCCTGCAGAATTATAATTTGGTCCAGCAGGGCTATAGCTCTGTGTTGTAGAGCTAAAATTCGGTGTCGCATTGTAATTCTGTGCTGCAGGGTTAAACTCCTGTTGTGAAGAGTTGAAATTTTGTGATGATTTGTAATTCTGTGATGGAGCTTTGTAAGTCTCTGATGGAGGTTTGTAGTTCGGTGGTGGTGTAGTGTAACTTTGTCCTATGGGGTCAAAGTTTTGTACTGTCAAACTCTGTGTTGGCTCCTTCTGTGCATTGTTGTTTGTTGTATTAGTTTGAGCTTGTTCAGGTTCACTCTTTTCTTGGCCCTTATTAGAGTTTGCTCTTCCTAGCTGCGCTGCTTTCTCAAGCTCCATTACAATGTTGAATTTAATCTGAGCCTCGGAAATCAGCTGTGGAAAAGTTAATATTTTTAAACAATATGCACACTGCATGCACAGTAGATAGTACACAAAGTAAACAGAAATGCACAAAATAAAAATGCTATTACTGATTCTGATATATACAAAAAGAATGAAAATTTTCCTGTATACAGTAATTTACTTGGAGAAAAACAAGCAACATATAAACTACAAATTTTATGAATGTGGAACCTCTACCAGCCATTCCTCTACTATATCTTAAGAGTGAATTACTTTCAGTAAATTAATATGTTAAATGTATTTGCTTGGTCAAAATTCTATAAGGAATAGATCACTTAAACTACTTTGTTGGTACTACCAACACAAACTAAGATGCAAACAGAAGCCATAGGCCAGTTTGTAACAGCCAATGACAATGCCAACTTTCAAATTATGACAGGAAATATATCATTATAACTATGAGTATACAGAAACTTGTACACTGTAATGGAAAACATAAATACCCTGAACAATTATATTCATACTTACATGCACAGTGTTTACAGATTTCTTTTTCTCATGGTATTCTTTGAGAGATTTCAAGAGAAGAGTAACGACCTCTGTGGCTAAGTTTGCATCATCGTCATCCTTCACGGTATTCTCAGCCTGGGAAAAGAATTATAAAATGCTTCTAGAATCAAATTCAAAATAACATTTACGTACAAGCAGCATAGTGCAGCATAGAAAGTAAATATAACAACTGAAAGGAATTAAGTGAAGCATTTTAATCCTCTGTGATGTGAGATAAGATGAACTATACACTTCTTAAATTTTTTGATGCTAGACCAAGTTACTCAACAAATTCTCATGCACAGTCCTTAGCATGTTTTACAATACTTGAATACAGTATTCCCTAACACTATTTTCATATAACTCTGTATCACACTAACTTTAATTTTTTTTTTTACCATACAAGTCATCTCCCACTGAGGTAGGGTCACCCAAAAAAGAAGGAACACTAACCATCATTCACTCTATCACTGTCTTGCCAGAGGCAAGCTGATACTACAGTTCAAATGCCCCTCCAAACTGCAAAATAAAAATGTAAAGCATTTCTGTTAAGTTTGCCTGACCTGACTCCACCAGAGATTTACTTATAGGTTTGGTGAAGGGTATGTGGTACAACTGGATACCAGCAACCAAAATCTTGCTCATCTACATTCCATATTTTTCCTTACTTACAAAAAAATCCTGGGTGGAAGGAAGGCAGGGTAGGGATTATCCCAAGGTGTGGCAGAAGAGTAAGAGGTGGTTTTAAGTGCAGTGGCTTCAGCATTCAGCAAGCATGTGTGTGCTAGAGGATATTGAATGGAGACAAATTAATTTTAGGGTTTGAAGTGCTGTTGGAATCTGAGCAAGGTAGCATTTATGAAGGAATTCAGGGAAAACCTCTTAGTCAGATTTGAGTCCTGGAGATGGAAAGTATAGTGAATAAACTATGAAGGAGTGGTGATGCTGATGTTTGGTAGGTATTTTGAATGACAACATCTACAAACTTCTGGCAAAACAAGAACTGAATGAATAATGGTTAATGTATCTCCATTTCTGAGTCACTCAACCTTAACAGGAGATGGCCAGTATGTGAACAAAAAGCATTCTGGCATGAAATGTGTATACATCTATAACTCACAACATACCAGTCTTTTAAGGAGCGATCCTGTTGACTTTGTCGAGACTTTTTCTTGGGGTTGTATAGATATTGGAGGAGGTTTGGAGAAGTCAAGGCCAAATGGGTTGGTAGGCACATCATTCCTAAAACATAAACCATGCTTAATTATATCAATAAGAAATATCATATACCTGTGTAATAATATATGTAACTGTTAACCTTTTCAGGGTCTGAACCCCTGATCTGAAACTTGCTCTCAGGGTCGGAGAATCTGAAAAAAAAAAAAAAAAAAAAAAAAAAAAAAAAAAAAAAAATTCCTGTGAAATGATAGAGAATCTTTTTTCTGAAGGTAACAAAACCACAAGTATGAAATCTGATGGGAACTTATGGAATTACACTCGCAAAGTTAGAGGGAACAGCAATATTTATGCATCGGTGATTTCAGCCACTTTGAGTCCTATTTTAGGCCAATTTCATTGTCCCAGTTGACCAGATTCATTGCTTTTTACTAGTATTCCTTCCATTCTAACAATTGAGTACAAGAAACTGCTCATTTTGGCATGCCTTCTACACTTCTTGTATGCCTGCTACACTCCCTGTATGCCTGCTACACTCCCTGCATGCGTGCTACACTTCCTGTATGCCTGCTACACTTCTTGTATGCCTGCTACACTCCCTGCATGCCTGCTACACTCCCTGCATGCCTGCTACACTTCCTGTATGCCTGCTACACTTCCTATAAGCCAGCTACACTCCTTGCATGCCTGCTACACTCCCTGCATGCCTGCTACACTTCACACTTAAATTCCATGGTGCTTCTCACTTTCTTTACCACAGGAACTTTCTTTGGAGCCATGGTTACTTATTTCACAGTTGCACTGCAAAAATAACACAAACTACAATGGGAAATAAGCGAAATGTTTGGATGTATGAGCAGAAGCTTCCTCAGCCACCTAGAGACACAACCAAACTGACGCGCAAGCGGCCCCAACCAGCAGATGGACGCATCCCAAACAGCCAATCACCGAATTAACAGCCGATAACCGGGCGCCAGATCACCGAGCTGGCCAATAACAGAAGCGTGCGATAACCGGGGATCCACTGTACTCTGGAATATCAGCAAAATTCAAACATTTCCACTACTTTGGGCTCAATTTCGAGTTACTTTTAGTCCTGACAACAATCAAAATCACCCTATTTCTATATCTTTCATTCTATCAAATGAGACCAAGAAGCCAAGAATACAATAATAAAAACCTGACAAAAATTACACCACAAAGTCTCTGTTTTAAACCAAAAATGCAGTTTTTTCTTCATTACTCAGTGCATGCTGTAGGATTTCTTTTTTTTTTAAACCAAAAATAGTCACAGTTTTTTTCTCATGCACTACGTGTTGAAATATTTTTTTTATATGGTGCACACTTTCTGCACAGACCCATTCTCTCATATCTAGGCACAAATTTACAGCACACAGCTTATATGAGTGAGCTGAGCTCATCATGCAGAACAACGGCACAGACCCGGGCTTCAAAGACATAGTACAATGGACCCCACCCTGAAAAGGGTTAACAGAATACGTACTGTGTTTTCAGAATCTAGTCTCCTTATCCACCTTCAGCTATGGGGGAAGGGGGGATGCAAAACATATACAAAGAGCATCTCATAATTACATGCTCAGACAATATTATGTTCATGGAAGTTAATCTATTTGGTGTCCATATACTCTACCCACTGACTGACTAATTTTAGTATCTCCCACTCACCCTCAACATGTACATGTCATCTGTAGATCTGCTCACCATATAAACCAAGACTTTATGTTTTCCTATACTTCTGAAGATCTCAGACAAAGATTGAAATATACAGTCTCTTCTTACACAGTGTTGGTATTGTGGGAGGCTCCCTTATTTCACTGACAAGTATCCACTACACTTTGAGGTTTCAAAGTATTTGAACATCACAGTTTGAATGATCCTCTGAACTGCAACATCACCACCCATCCTTCAGAGTTAATTCACAAAAATATATATATCAAGGTATAAATCAATTTCCTAGGTAGTAGGTTGGTAGACAGCAACCGCCCAGGGAGGTACTACCGTCCTGCCAAGTGAGTGTAAAACGGAAGCCTGTAATTGTTTTACATGATGGTAGGATTGCTGGTGTCCATTTTTCTGTCTCATAAACATGCAAGATTTCAGGTATGTCTTGCTACTTCTACTTACACTTAGGTCACACTACACATACATGTTTTTTTTTCTTTTTTTTTTTTCAACAAGTCGGCCGTCTCCCACCGAGGCAGGGTGACCCAAAAAAGAAAGAAAATCCCCCAAAAGAAAATACTTTCATCATCATTCAACACTTTCACCACACTCACACATTATCACTGCTTTTGCAGAGGTGCTCAGAATACAACAGTTCAGAAGCATATACGTATAAAGATACACAACATATCCCTCCAAACTGCCAATATCCCAAACCCCTCCTTTAAAGTGCAGGCATTGTACTTCCCATTTCCAGGACTCAAGTCCGACTATATGAAAATAATCGGTTTCCCTGAATCCCTTCACTAAATATTACCCTGCTCACACTCCAACAGATCATCAGGTCCCAAGTATCATTCGCCTCCATTCACTCCTATCTAATACGCTCATGCACGCTTGCTGGAAGTCCAAGCCCCTAGCCCACAAAACCTCCTTTACCCCCTCTTTCCAACCCTTTCGAGGATGACCCCTACCCCTCCTTCCTTTCCCTATAGATTTATATGCTTTCCATGTCATTCTACTTTGATCCATTCTCTCTAAATGACCATACCACCTCAACAACCCATCTTCTGCCCTCTGACTAATGCTTTTATTAACTCCACACCTTCTCCTAATTTCCACACTCCGAATTTTCTGCATAATATTTACACCACACATTGCCCTTAGACAGGACATCTCCACTGCCTCCAACCGTCTCCTCGCTGCTGCATTTACCACCCAAGCTTCACATCCATATAAGAGTGTTGGTACTACTATACTTTCATACATTCCCTTCTTTGCCTCCATAGATAACGTTTTTTTGACTCCACATACACCTCAACGCACCACTCACCTTTTTTCCCTCATCAATTCTATGATTAACCTCATCCTTCATAAATCCATCCGCCGACACGTCAACTCCCAAGTATCTGAAAACATTCACTTCTTCCATACTCCTCCTCCCCAATTTGATATCCAATTTTCCTTTATCTAAATCATTTGATACCCTCATCACCTTACTCTTTTCTATGTTCACTTTCAACTTTCTACCTTTACACACATTCTCAAACTCATCCACTAACCTTTGCAATTTTTCTTTAGAATCTCCCATAAGCACAGTATCATCAGCAAAAAGTAACTGTGTCAATTCCCATTTTGAATTTGATTCCCCATAATTTAATCCCACCCCTCTCCCGAACACCCTAGCATTTACTTCTTTTACAACCCCATCTATAAATATATTAAACAACCATGGTGACATTACACATCCCTGTCTAAGACCTACTTTTACCGGGAAGTATTCTCCCTCTCTTCTACACACCCTAACCTGAGCCTCACTATCCTCATAAAAACTCTTTACAGCATTTAGTAACTTACCACCTATTCCATATACTTGCAACATCTGCCACATTGCTCCTCTATCCACTCTATCATATGCCTTTTCTAAATCCATAAATGCAATAAAAACTTCCCTACCTTTATCTAAATACTGTTCACATATATGCTTCAATGTAAACACTTGATCTACACATCCCCTACCCACTCTGAAGCCTCCCTGCTCATCCACAATCCTACATTCTGTCTTACCTCTAATTCTTTCAATTATAACCCTACCGTATACTTTTCCTGGTATACTCAGTAAACTTATTCCTCTATAATTTTTACAATCTCTTTTGTCCCCTTTCCCTTTATATAAAGGGACTATACATGCTCTCCGCCAATCCCTAGGTACCTTCCCCTCTTTCATACATTTATTAAACAAAAGTAACAACCACTCCAACACTATATCCCCCCCTGCTTTTAACATTTCTGTCATGATCCCATCAGTTCCAGCTGCTTTACCCCGTTTCATTCTACGTAATGCCTCACGTATCTCTACCACACTTACATTCTGCTCTTCTTCACTCCTAAAAGATGGTATACCTCCCTGGCCAGTGCATGAAATTACCGCCTCCCTTTCTTCCTTAACATTTAAAAGTTCCTCAAAATATTCTCGCCATCTACCTAATACCTCCCTCTCCCCATCTACTAACTCCCCTACTCTGTTTTTAACTGACAAATCCATACTTTCCCTAGGCTTTCTTAACTTGTTTAACTCACTCCAAAATTTTTTCTTATTTTCATTAAAATTTCTTGACAGTGCCTCTCCCACTCTTTCATCTGCTCTCCTTTTGCACTCTCTCACCACTCTCTTCACCTTTCTTTTACTCTCCATATACTCTGCTCTTCTTATAACACTTCTGCTTTGTAAAAACCTCTCGTAAGCTACCTTTTTCTCTTTTATCACCCCCTTTACTTCATCATTCCACCAATCACTCCTCTTTCATCCTGCCCCACCCTCCTATAACCACAAACTTCTGCCCCACATTCTAATACTGCATTTTTAAAACTATTCCAACCCTCTTCAACCCCCCCACTACTCATCTTTGCACTAGCCCACCTTTCTGCCAATAGTCTCTTATATCTCGCCCGAACTTCCTCCTCCCTTAGTTTATACACTTTCACCTCCCTCTTACTTGTTGTTGCCACCTTCCTCTTTTCCCATCTACCTCTTACTCTAACTGTAGCTACAACTAAATAATGATCCGATATATCAGTTGCCCCTCTATAAACATGTACATCCTGGAGCCTACCCATCAACCTTTTATCCACCAATACATAATCTAACAAACTACTTTCATTACGTGCTACATCATACCTTGTATATTTATTTATCCTCTTTTTCATAAAATATGTATTACTTATTACCAAATTTCTTTCTACACACAGCTCAATTAACCCTTTGAGGGTTTCGGACGTACTAGTACGGCTTACGACCCAGGGTTTTTGACGTACTAGTACGCCTAAATTCTAGCGCCCTCAAATCTAGTGGGAGAAAGCTGGTAGGCCTTCATATGAAAGAATGGGTCTATGTGGTCAGTGTGCACAGTCTAAAAAAAATCCTGCAACACACAGTGCATAATGAGAAAAAAAAAACTTTGACCATATTTTTGGAATAAAACAGCGACTTTGCACTGTATTTTCGTATGGTATTTATTGTTGTATTCTAGTTTTCTTGGTCTCATTTTATAGAATGGAAGACATATTACAGAAATTGAGATGATTTTGACTGGTTTTACAATGAAAGGTACCTTGAAATTGAGCTCAAAGTAGCAGAAATGTTAGATTTTTACCAAATTTCAAAAGTAAACAAATCGTGCCAAGCGTGCAATACATGTCAACTGGTGACCTGGAGTTTACCTGGAGAGAGTTTCGGGGGTCAACGCCCCCGCGGCCCGGTCTGTGACCAATAATATTTATACCATTTTTTACACTAATGCAGTAGTCTGCATAACAGTAAATTTTATATTTTTTGTGAGAATAAAAATTCAAAGTGGAAAGCAAAATAATATAAGAGGGGCCTTGAGACGTGACTAATGACCAGAGGAAATGTCATTTTAGTGCCAGGAATGTCTTTCTTGTTTATTCTGGACCCTATTCGGAAATTGGCATCTTTTGAAATTTGTGTGAAATTGGCAAAATTGCTAAATTCTGACCACTGTACTGGATAGTTGAATTTCATAAATGGGTGGTTTCTTGCACCCATTCGATAGAAAAAATGGAGTTCTAGCGAAATATTCATGTTTTTTGTCGACTAGTACAGTGGAATTGGTCGAAAATGGGGCTCAAAGTGGGCAAAATAGCCGATGCGTAAACATCGCCGAGACCGCTAACTTTGCGAGAGCATAATTCCGTAAGTTTTCCATCAAATTTCAAACTTTTGGTGTCCTTATGATCGGGAAAAGATTCTCTATCTTTTCAAAAGAGAAAATAATTTTTTTTTTTTAAATTTGGCCGACCCTGAGAACGAGTTTCGGAGAGGGCCTGTCGACCCTCAAAGGGTTAAAGGCTCCCCATTTACATTTACCCCTGGCACCCCAAATTTACCTACATTTACTAACATTTTTACCCACTTTAGCATTGAAATCCCCAACCACCATTACTCTCACATTTGATTCAAAACTCCCCATGCATTCACTCAACATTTCCCAGAATCTCTCTCTCTCCTCTACACTTCTCTCTTCTCCAGGTGCATACACGCTTATTATAACCCACTTTTCACATCCAATCTTTATTTTACTCCACATAATCCTCGAATTTATACATTTGTAGTCCCTCTTTTCCTGCCATAGCTTATCCTTCAACATTATTGCTACTCCTTCTTTAGCTCTAACTCTATTTGAAACCCCTGACCTAATCCCATTTATTCCTCTCCATTGAAACTCTCCCACCCCCTTCAGCTTTGTTTCACTTAAAGCCAGGACATCCAGTTTCTTCTCATTCATAACATCCACAATCATCTCTTTCTTATCATTTGCACAACATCCACGCACATTCAGACTTCCCACTTTGACAATTTTCTTCTTCTTATTCTTTTTAGTAATCTTTACAGGAAAAGGGGCTACTAGCCCATTGTTCCCGGCATTTTAGTCGACTTTTACAACACGCATCGCTTACGGAGGTAAGATTCTTATTCCACTTCCCCATGGATATAAAAGGAAAAGTAATAAGACCAAGAACTATTAAGATAAAATCAAAGATAACTCAGATGAGTGTGTATAAGTAAACGTGTACATGTATGTGTAGTGTGACCTAAGTGTAAGTACAAGTAGCAAGACATGCCTGTAATCTTGCATATTTATGAGACAGACAAAAGACACCAGCAATCCTACCATCATGTAAAACAATTACAGGCTTTCATTTTACACTCACTTGGCAGGACGGTAGTACCTCGCTGGGTGGTTGCTGTCTACCATACATGTACAAGCATATATATACACACACCCCTCTGGGTTTTCTAATATTTTCTTACTAGTTCTTGTTCTTGTTGTTTATTTCCTTACCTCCATGGGGAAGTGGAACAGAATTCTTCCTCCGTAAGCCATGCGTGTTGTAGGAGGCAACTAAAATGCCGGAAGCAAGGGGCTAGTAACCTCTTCTCCTGTATATATTACTAAATGTGAAAGGAGAAATTTTTGTTTTTCCTTTTGGGCCACCCCGCCTCGGTGGGATACAGCCAGTGTGTTGAAAGAAAGAAAGATAAATCAATTTTTTGAGATCTATTTTAAGGGCAGTTCAGCTTGTTTGATCAATTCCTCTAAAGTGTATGACACTTAACACTTCATTTATTAAACCTTACATAAACTCTAACATCTCTCTATCATTATCCATTACTTACCAAAATACACACATCAATTCCTAGTTAAAATGGTGGTAAATTTCACATTTAAATGTTCTTCAAAAGCATTAAATGCAAACCTGTATGTAAAGGAAAAAAACAAACACTGGACTTTTTTTTTTTCCAACACACCGGCCATATCCCACCGAGGCAGGGTGGCCCAAAAGGAAAAACGAAAGTTTCTCCTTTTACATTTAGTAATATATACAGGAGAAGGGGTTACTAGCCCCTTGCTCTTGGTATTTTAGTTGCCTCTTACAACACGCATGGCTTACAAAGGGAGAATTCTGTTCCACTTCTCCATGGAGGTAAGAGGAAATAAACAAGAACAAGAACTAGAAAGAAAATAGAAAAAAATCCAAAGGGGTGTGTATATATATGCTTGTACATGTATGTGTAAGTGTAAGTGTAAGTAGAAGTAGCAAGACGTACCTGAAATCTTGCATGTGTATGAGACAAAAAAAAAGACACCAGTAATCCTACCATCGTGTAAAACAATTACAGGCTTCAGTTTTAGACTCACTTGGCAGGACGGTAGTACCTCCCTGGGCAGTTGCTGTCTACCAACCTACTACCTAGGACTGGACTTTTGTTTACATTAATATTCCTTAAGTACTGTCACAGAGGCTAAGACGTTGTGTAGTTTTAAAAATAGGTTAAATAAGTACAGTACATGAGTGGGTGTGAGTTTGACCCGACTAGCTTGTGCTACTAGGTTAGATGCCATGCTCCTCCCTTAAGTGAACGTGACCTGACCTGGCTTGGTTAAGGCATTGGCTTAAACTGGTAGAATTGGACCTGCCTCGCATGGGCCAGCAGGCCTGCTGCAGTGTTCCTTCTTTCTTATGTTCTTAAGTCGGTATGTGACCAGCAGTAACAGCCTGGTTGATCAGACCCTGATCCACCGCAAGGCCTGGTCACAGACCAGGCAGCAAGGATGTAGACCCCCAGTACACTCTCCAGGTAATAAGATATTCTATACTACTTTCTAGCAGCTCCCTCTCCCTTTCTCTCAACTGTTCTCTCATTAAGTCCTTTCAGACTGCTCATAGTCTGACTCCTTTTTACTTCCCATTTTGTTTTAGGTATCAGTACAGTACCAGAATTTTTTCTTGTTTCCATCTCTCTTATTTCAGCCTCTCACTTGGAATGAAAATGCTAGTCAATATTGAAAACATGCTGATCAGACAAGCAGTATGCTTTATAGGAGAGTGAAAAGCCCAAATAATTGAGTAATATACAATTTCATCAGCATTATGGCCCTGGAGAAGGCCATAAAAATTCTGAGATATAACTTGTGTCAGCAGAGTTTAGTAATCATTGCCAATAACAACACTTAAATTTTATGTATAAACTTCATAGATAATAAGCAGCAAAAGTTTGCTGAGACAGCAGCTCATTCCAATTAAACTGTAAATGTATTATGAGGAGCTCATTCCAATTAAACTGTAAATGTATTATGAGGAGGAGACTGAGAGGAAAGATCTAAATGAAGAACTGGTAGAAGTAAATCCAGTAATTTCAATTACTGGTATGATAAGGCCTATGAGTCTAGGAACCTATAAAACTAGTTGACAGTAAAGAAGAGGCAGGGCCAAGAGCTGTGCTTTGACCCCCAACAACCACATATACTAGGAATGATAGTGGCTTTCTTTGTACTTAACAAACCAAAATTGTAATTACACAATGTAACCTTTGCAAAGAAATAAAATCTTATTCTTTAACTAACCTTGACATGACGTCTCTCCTGCCGTATCCTTCTGAAATAGTAGTAAATGTCAATATAGATTAATGGTTTTTCACTAAGTGTTGCTTTCCTACAAATCTACATTTTTTTTTTTCAACAAGTCGGCCGTTTCCCACCGAGGCATAAATGATGTTGCTGAAAAAGAGGCCGTCTCACATATACAGTATAAGCAGAGAATGCAGATAGCAAGCAAACAAATTATAATCACATCAACAGGGATGGAGATATTTGCTGTTTGGAGGGACATCTGAACTGTCATATTTATGTGCCTCTGGCAAGACAGTGATAGTGTGAATGATGGTGAAAGTGTTTCTTTTGCGGGTTACCCTGCCTCGGTGAGAGACAATTCATTAAGGATTCAGTTTATGTTTTAAATGCCCCCACTACGGATTACATTTCTAAATGTCTCTGCGAATCCAGGAACTAAGTACTATCCATATATTACATTTCAGATATGAGCTTATTTTATTTCAGAAGCCACATTCTTAATGTATTGTATTGCTCTTGCTTCATCAATGATGATATTCATAAGGACTTCCAGAAGGAGATATTTGGGGAAAGAAATACAGTGAACACGTTTCAAAAAAAAATCCTATGGTTGGGTATTCAATTTATAAGTCATGTAGAAGAGACCCCTTTGGAGGCAGTGGAGATGTCCTGTCTAAGGGCAATTATGATTATTATTATTATTATTATTTTTTTTTATTATCACACTGGCCGATTCCCACCAAGGCAGGGTGGCCCGAAAAAGAAAAACTTTCACCATCTAAGGGCAATGTGTGGTGTAAATATTATGAAGAAAATTCGGAGTGTGGAAATTAGGAAAAGGTGTGGAGTTAATAAAAGTATTAGTCAGAGGGCAGAAGAGGGGTTGTTGAGGTGGTTTGGTCAATTAGACCAAATTTATTTAGACCATTTATTTTTATATAGTCGGACTTGAGTCCTGGAAATGGGAAGTACAATGCCTGCACTTTAAAGGAGGGGTTTGGGATATTGGCAGTTTGGAGGGATATGTTGTGTATCTTTATATGTGTATGCTTCTAAACTGTTGTATTCTGAGCACCTCTGCAAAAACAGTGATAATGTGCGAGTGTGGTGAAAGTGTTGAATGATGATGAAAGTATTTTCTTTTTGGGGATTTTCTTTCTTTTTTGGGTCGCCCTGCCTTGGTGGGTCGCCGTGCCTCGGTGGGAGACGACCAACTTGTTAAAAAAAAAAGGTTCCACTGTGTATTAATATATTTTAATATTAAACATTGTGAAACAGTTTCTGATGCAACTATGCAAACACACACCAATTTTGTTTTATAAATTAGGACAAAATTTTATTAATACTTTATATGTCATCATATATTTGCATACAGTCTAAAGTGCGATTCATTTCAATACAAAATATATACTACAAGACACAAGTTGACCAATTTCCTTAGCAAAATGTTGTAAAGAGCATCACTGCTTATCTACAATCTTACTCTAGCTGAAATTTAGATTAAATGACTAAGAAATAAGGATCTAAGACAGTGAAATTTCATTTATATATAAGAACACATCTCACTTTGTTCATATTGATCCATTCTTCCATCACGTCCAGAGAAGTCATGATCTGGATGATCCTGGTGATCCCTTGCATTATCATCATCTCTGCTAAGATAAATACATAAACCTGTATATACCATTAAATACGTAATTAAGTTCAGGGAAAACCCTAGCGCTAATAACATTAAAGTTTTGATATCCACTTAAAATAATTCAATACTTTAAATGCAAATATGGGAACAAATTACATTTAATATTTTTTAATATAAAAAGTCATCATTATAATGGCACAGCTGATTTGTAAATATGTATAGCATAAGAATTAACCATGGATATAATTCTGACTTTTGGCAAGGCTACTCATTACAGCTGACTGAAGAAACATGAACTGTCTATAATGCATACCATTTACAATATGTATTTGAGCCTAATAATATAGCATGTAATCTTGTCAACAAAACTTTTATCTATGGAGCCAGAAAAGAGGATGTACCCGAGTACAGTGGTACCAACACTGCTATATGGGTATGAAGTACGGGGTTTTAATTGTAGAGAGAGGAAGGATAGAGGCAGTGGAAATGTCATGTTTGAGGGCAATGTGCAGTGTAAATGTTATACACAGAATTCATAGCGTGGAGTTACCAAAAGTATTAAACAAAGGGTGGAGAGGAAGGAGGGTTAGTGAGGTAATCTGGACATTAAACTGGGGTAGAGGGACTTAGGGGTAGGAATCATCCTTGGAAGTGCTGGAAGGGTAAGGGAGGTTCTGAGTGCTAGAGGCTTGAATATCCAACGAGTTTGTGATAGTGCTAGATAGGAAAGGTTTTTTGGTGATTTGATGTGCAGCTGGTATGTGAGTAAGGTAACATTTATGAAGGGAGTCAGAGAAACACATTAGCCAGAATTAAGTTCTGGATGTAGGAAGTACAGTGTCTAAACTCTAAAGGAGAGGTGGGAATGTTGCAATTCAGGTTATGAGAGCTGTAACATCAGCACGCTTCTGGCAAGACTGACTGAAAGAACGATGGTAAAAGTGTTTCTTCTTCATTGGGTCACCCTGCCTTGGTAGGAGAGGGCCAATATGTTTAAAAAGAAAAACTCTTGGATACAAGAAAAGTCATTGCCAATTGTTGCCGAGTTCATAATTCACTGGGTATTAGTAGAGTTTGCCACTATAAAACACCTACTTTTTAAAAAACAAAAAAGGCACAATACCGTGACTGGAACAATACACAAATAACCCGCACATAAAAGAGACAAGCTTACGACGACGTTTCGGTCCGACTTGGACCACTAACTTCTGGTTAGTGTGACTTTGTAAATGGTCCAAGTCGGACCGAAACGTCGTCGTAAGCTTCTCTCTTTCATGTGCGGGTTATTTGTGTACCTACTTTTTAATATATATGATGTTAGTGTCTTCTGGGTTAAGACTTCCTCGAGAACACAAATTTAGTTCTCTATAATCCATGTTATTTTTTTTATTTTGTTTAATAAACATTTTAAATCCCTGAACTAATCTTGAAAATTTAAATATATTTTTATTTATTCATTCATTATATAATCTTCTTGACTGGAGAGAAATATGTTTTATTTAACTTTTAGTTCTACCAATGGTAATCTTATTTTCTGACAATACCTGAAGACACCTGGTGGTAAGAGACGTCCAGGAGGTGGACGTAATGAATCCCCACCAAGTGGGCCAGGTGGGCCACAAGTACCAGGTGGGCCACAAGTGCCAGGTGGCCCAGTTGGGCCACATGTGCCAGGTTGACCGGGTGGACCAGGTGGGCCACATGTGCCAGGAGGGCCGGATGGGCCAGATAGGTTAGGTGGACCACATGTACCAGGTGGACCAGTTAGGTTGGGTGGACCAGGTGGGGCAGATGGACCAGGCGGACCAGGAGGGGCTGAATCCATACCAGGTTTACTTCCATCATCTAAGCCAGCTGAAGCGATATAATAAAAATAAATAAAAACAAAGAAAACTATGCAACCTTACATAATCAAGTTTTGGGAAAATATACATAATTACATAATATAGCTGCAACAAACACTGTCATTAAGAACTCTAATATTGTGATACATTAAGAGAACAAATATAAGCATGAACATGATGACAGTGAACTGTACAACAGTACATAAAAAAAGATTGTTCTTGATATCTAACAAAGGTATATTGGAGAGAAGATTGAAATGTACTGTAAACAGAGGGAGTGTATGTCTACAAGACAACAAGTCACTGAAAAATATAATGGCCATGAAAGAGTACAGGCAGGTCCCGCTTTTTAGCGTTTCGTTAATGCCGAGGTTTTGAATTATATCCATTCTTCATTTATTCAGACTTATTATAATAAATATATTCATGACTCACTATAAGCTAAGGATGAAAATATTTTAAGGTAAGTAATGTGTGGACTGTATATACATTTTTGAGGCCTGGCTGTATTGCTCACTCAATATATAATTGTGTAAACATGTTATAAGGCTTTTATATGCACTTGAAAATGAAAAAAAAAAAAGAAGTTATGTTTCAGTTTACAGCAGTAGCCCAGAACCTAACCTGTTGTATAAGTGGAGCTCCTATATGTATTTTCCTCTCAAAGGATGGTACATTGTACTCAATATATGTACTCTAAACCCATCTCAACACAGGCAAAAACAAAGTCGAGTCTTGCTAGTTTGATTTTTTCTTAAGTTGGTCAGTTTCTTTACACAATGCCTCAGGAAATTATGCATTAGTCAAGCAGATTGTTTCCACACATCACTGGGCCTCTGTGTGGATCTGTTTCTTCAGTCTGTACCTCCTACCTTGTTTCCTCTGCAATTTTCTCAATGCTTATTTATTGTTGCTGCTTCATGGATGTATCTTATTATGACTTGGTAGTGACACATAAATAACACTTACACAAGTGCTTGGGCTGGTGGCAGATATAGGGCAAACTGTCTCATACATTTCTGATTCAGACAAAATTGAAAAAAATAAGGAAATAAATTAGGAGAAAGATGAACTATCAATGAAATTTTCTATAGAATCTTCTGAACAATTACATAGTCCATGTAAGTGTTATTTGTTTGATATATGCAACACATCCAAATATACTGTACTGCTTCATCAAACTTTTTAGGCAGGTGTTCCTAATATCAACAGTAAGTAGTAGTGGAAAAAGGTTGTAACTCTTATGCCAGACACAAACTATTATACTATATGAACACAAGCAACTTCTCGTCTCTTTCGAGCATTTTCTACGCTCTTTCTGGTTCTGGAAATCAGTCGATATAACTTAGATCTGCCCAAGACAAAATCAGATTAACTTAACACTAAATTTAATATTTAATGTGTTATTTCTTATTTATGAATGAGAGGCAAGTGGCATCATTTAATGTCAGTAAAATGTTTAGTTTTCACTGGGAGACTAGCAGCAGAGGTGCTATCTTTTGTATTCATTTTCAGAATGTCTGCAGTGGATATAATGTGTAAAAAGCATAAGAATTTTTATTTGCATCATTTGGAAGTGCTTACATTAGCATGGCAGACTGCAAGCACCTATGACTGTCCTATTTGTTTGAATACATAACCGCATGTGTATATGGGTAGGGGACCCTAATTGTATAGATTTATAAAAAGAATTCCATCTGAGTGGGCACTGTAGTTCTATATAGTGTAATTACAAGTCAAAGTTTGACTTTTTACAGAAGAGAAAGAAAACCAATACTGTACTTACCTTTCTTCTTCTCCCACAGATTCTTTTTCTGCAAGGAAACAAAAGTAAGTTATTTAAAACAAAATGACAGATATTTTGTAATGAATCACATCAGCAAAACCACTGCATCATACTTCCACAGGATGAGGAGGCACTTGGCAGGAAAGGATGGAAAAGTATTTCAGAAAAAACTAGGTTAAAATTGTGTAAGAGTGACATTTGATATTTCTCAGTAGTGTACCGTATTGTACCTTCCACTCTGTATCACAAGAATATATTACCACCAATCTAGCACAATATATATGGCAGTGATTCAGTCTTTTCATAAACTGTATGCAAGACATCAAAGTGAAATGTCATGAGATTTTTATTGCAGTAATTTCCTACTAACAAACTGATCTTATTCACTTAATCTCTTCAATTTTTTTTTCTGCATTATTAACTTCACACTTTTAACATGAACTACAATATTTACTTTCAGTTTTTAATGAATCAAGAGGCTAAATAAATTTAGCTCCTCTTTTACACAGATTTTTCATACAACTTTCTTAATCCAGTTTGTCAATATCCTTCCTTTAATACTGTGACCAAAAAAATGTCTACAATATCCTAGAATATGATACACCAACAGCTAACACAGTGAGCAGGTCTTACTGATAGAAACCTGAATAATTTATCAATGTAGTAATGACTAAGAGTGTTTGACTCACGGAATTGTAATAACATGATTGTAAACAAATCAGAGAGAGGGTGGGGACTTGAACCCATGGCAAGCAAGTCCTCACTTGCCATGGGTTTAAGCCCCACCCATTCCCTGGCTTGATTAAGTGTGTATGCTTTGTTACTGACCCATTACACTACCTACAGTACTTGGCTTCAAATTATTGACCACTATTAATAATTAATCATCTTTATTATATCGAGGTCTATAGTGTTAATAAAATAATTTGCCTTTACACTTTTGCCTCCATTATTATTATACAGTAGTCCAATTTAGCAAAGTTTAAGTCTACTTGACATCTTTCCTGTCTTACTGAAACAGCTTTACTCCAGTTTCACACCAATGTTAAATTATGTTATTGTACAGAATAACCCATTATTGTCAGCATATAATAAAATGTAACCGACTCAAAAGACTAATCCCTATGGCCAGGCCAGATTAAAGCATAGGCTTTAGGGGCTGCAGCTCAGGGTCCTCCACCAGCTGGAGGGCCTCAGAGATTAAGTGAAGTGTTTACAGTTACTGCTGTAAGTTTGTGTGTAATTATAGTATGTTATTACATCACGTATATGATGAACTGTTGACTGTTATGGTATTTTTTTTCCCTTTTGAAAATATCACTGGGGGCCTCACGGTACCTGTAGCCCAGGGGCCTATAAAATCTTAATTCGGCTCTGAATATGACAAGCAATTCTGATGCATTTCTGTGTAGAAATACCCACTGTGTTTGTTATCTAGACATACAGTATGTAACCAGTTTTCAAGCCAATATAATACACAGCTGTCTATACACCTCTGGGTCCCAACTAAATTCTGAGTCATGCAGAAAAAGGTTGGAGAGAAGATGGGGCACATTTCTCAGCTGGGTTGTAATGGGTCATCAAAAGCATTTTCTCTTTCTTGGACATTTTAATTCCAAAAAGTGCCCAAAAGACTGAACCATCACTGCCAACCAAGAGACATTATTATATTTCCCACTTTACCCCAACATACAAGTACAAAATAAAAAATATATAATTTTTTTTGTATGATATAAATTTGGGTAAGATTCTCCAAACAAGATCTGGAGAATGAACACAAAATTTGGAGAAAGAATGCAAGATTTGGATAAATGAATGTAAATTTTGGAGAATGACTCCTTGAGGAACAACAAGCTGAACAGTAGACACTGGTAGTCCAAATTTTAGGAGATGGACTGGTAAGCCAGCAGAAGGTCTGTGTCAAAAGACTACAGGCACTACAAAGTGAGTTATCATGTGACTAAGACCTCCAATGGGAAAATTTTTTTTCACTTTTTTTGACAAGCAAAACACCACTAACTAAATTTCGCCGACAAAACGTAGTTTTTGGAAGAACAGAGAGATTAATGTCAAATGGACAAGACAATTCTATGTCCAATTCAGCAACTACTTTGAAAATAGTCACAAAGACCCAATATGAGGCCGCCTGAAAAACTGCATGGCAAGAAGCCTCATAATATATTGTAAACCTACTAAGCCAGTAGTTCATACAAAATTCAAAACTGTCTATTGAAATAAATTTGGCTAAAGTTTAAATTGATGAACATTTGCGAAAACAGTATACATACTGTAGTATGAAGCAAGATAATTTTATGCACATTATTCTCGGACTGAAACAAGTAGAAAAATTTGAGATTTACACTTACAAATATATGTGGATCTTGAGAACACTTCTAAGTTTATGGTGTTTATACGGTACAAAACAACATTAATGCCATATTTTTTTAAGAACTGTTACAAGTCATACAGCACCAGAAGGCATTTTTAAAACATTAAAACCTTCACTTGATGGACTGCTATGTTGTTTGTATTGATGAACTTGCAGCAATGATAAGAGGATAATTAGGATTTCTGATAAGACGGCAAGAAGCCAGCCCTCGTATTACTATTAGTGGTGCTTACTAACAAAAATGATTCAACAAGAGTTTCACCTCCTTCTGAAGGATACTTTCTTACTGTTTATTTCTTGAAAGGCGAGGGTATGAATTTTACAATGTTCCGTGTTATGCCGAAAGAAATGGGACAGAAGCACAACCACTTTGTCCCTCAGAGTCCAATGGCATTCTCATAAAAAAATATTTTTATATAGTACAGTACAGAATATTGCTAAGAATGGAGTTAAAATAAATGTGATTCAGAAAGCACTCACTCTTTGGTTGATCAATTCAAGGATGAAAACTGACTAGTAAGGTTGGCTTAGTTAAGTGGCAGTTTCCAGACTACTGACTACTGAAGTTATGCTTAGTTAAGTGGCAGTTTCCAGACTACTGAAGTTATGATTATAAAAACTGATATTTGCTGTAGAGTACTAGATATTACTTTATTTCTCTTCTATAACCTGGATATGAGAGTTGCAAGTTTCTCCTCCTATATAACACTTCCATCTTATGGAACTTGTGGACCCTTGTAGATTTAGCATTTCTTTTTGACAATAATAATATGGAACTTGTTAAAACTTCTAAGCAAAGGTTTCATTACTTCTGCTTTAGCTTCCATTAAGAATTTGGGAAAGTCTGTCATGAGTAGCTGTTTTATTTTATTTAATGGTACAAGTATGTATTGTACTCTGCACTTGAAAAAATAAATAAATTGAAAAATGTTTCCACAACTGATATGTAATGCTTGTGTCACAACAATTTCATAAACCAAATATATCAAAATATTTGCTATATCTAATTCTTCAGAAATTGTCACAATTTTCTGTTACAATGTGATCAACAGAGCTTTTTTTTAAGTACAATAACTCTAAAGTTCTCCATGGGGAAATGGAGAAGAATTCTTCCTCTGTAAGCTGTGTGTGTCGTAAGATGTGGTTAAAATGCCGGGAACAAGGGGCTAGTAACCCCTTCATCCGGCCTCGGTGAGAAATGACCAGCGTCAAAAAAAAAAAAAAAAAAAAAAGATTGTTTGCAGCAATATGAGTGATAATTACATTATCTGTGACAGATATCTGTGTCTGTACTATACCTTTCTATACTTTCTGGATGAGTGCCTCTTCAACTATGTAAATGGGGAACAAAGTGACGATGAAGATTCATTATTAAGAATTGTTATTATTGTACTCAGAAATAATTTCAGTTACATCCTATAAATACTTTGCATTTTGTTGGGTGTTATGTAAAGATAGTTATCACTGATCAATGAAAGATAACTTGTAATGAACTTATGATAGGAAATTTTATATCTTGGAAATTAAATATTGAGGCAGGTAGCATTATGGCCATAACTGTATACCTGTCAATAAAAGCATGGTAGATGCAGTGGTTATAGCTGCTTCAAGACTGACAATGACAATGGAATAACTGCCCCACACATGCCTAGGTACTGCTTCTCAACCTCTGACAGTTAATAAAACTCCACACTTGTAAAAGATTGTGGTCACTGGGGAATTCCAACTACAATGGATGACAATTTCACCTGAATATTTCATAACAATAAGTTTATTCAAACTTATTCAACTATGGTATTATCTCTATATTTTTTAAATCATTACCAATATGTATGAGATATTCTATATACTTCATGTATGTCTACAGCTGACCATTTCCCTATCTCTATACATACACCATACAGAGAATGGTTATAAAATTATATTAACTGGGTAAAGGAGCTTATGTGACATAAGGACTGCTGAGTTTGACACACCAAATACTTTGTATAACATACTCTTCTTACTCTGACAATGTCAAACGTCTTACAATAACTACTATAAAAAATAAAGTAATGACCAAATATTATTGACCGAAGGCAACACAAACCTCTTTACACGAGTATTTGAACTGGTTTTCACTATTGTACAGGTACAATGGCAACCATACTTTCAACACCCGACACTAGACTTATATGACGAACATCACAAGAGAATTGTCTTGCTTGCTTAATCATTTTAATTTGTCATAGGAAACAAGCTCAAGAAGAAAAGTATACAGTATAAATAGTGATCAATATAAACTTTCAGATCACTTCAACAGCTGTATAAACTAATTCACCTTCAAAAGTAATCAAGACTGTACTAAGCAAAAACAGAAAATTTTCACACAAAATATATGGGATAGTACTTCTCATTATAAAGTTTATATCTTACCTTGCAGTGTATACGATGGTCAATTATATTTATAAAATTCACCTTAAGTCATACATTTTAATTATCACATATCATCACAGATATATACATATATATATAAAAGTTTTACCCAATGAAAACAGTCAAAAGTCTGTCTTGCAGTGGTTAAAACTAAGAAGGTATTAAGCTAGATGAAGATCAGTTTAATTATCACAATCAATATGTCCTGCATTGTTGTAGTTACA